AACAGTACGTGAAATTGCTGAAAGGGAAACGCTTGAAGTCAGTCGCGTTAGCTTGAGATCAGCCTAGCTCTTTTGCTTGGTGTATTGTGATATCTACCGATATCGCTCCGCGATAGAAGTCCACTGTGTGCATTTGAGGCTGTATCCGGGCGCCCAAAAACAGCCAATCCTGTCTCTACCAGCAAAAGGATGGACAGCGCACGGCGGGTGAATTGGTCTTCCTCGCCTAGGGAAGTGAGCAGGGCTGTGATAGACGGGGCATCGACGTGCTCATCTATGTCGATGCCATGTTGGTCCAGAAGACGAGATCGAATGGAGGAAAGTAGGCACAAAAACTTGCTTCTCCAGCGACGTCCCACACGGATTGGAGATGACGCAGACGTTCCCAGATCGCACTCGTCCTGAGCATGTTCCACCCGAGCCTTACTGTCCCCCTCAGCTTTGCTGCCGCCTTCCTGGACGTCCCCATCTGTGTGACTCTGATCCTCCATCTCAACGTCAGCTTCTCCCTGACCCTCTGCCTCGAACATAGAGTCAGACTGTTCCCCATCGTTGTCACCGTTGTTATCCTGCTTCCGTTTGCCAAGAAGTACCTTGCTCGGAGATCCGGGACCCTCGGTGCCAACGTCTGTCCGATAACGACGTGTAGCTTCCTCTTCCTCTTGTACGATGACCTCGACCAATCGATTCACTGTATCCATCATGACGATAGGGGAATCACTGGCACCCATTTCGACGGTACCTCCTCCCCCGGTTGTGTCACAGGGGTCGTCAGTGCGCTGCTGGACATACTCGACCCAGTCAACTGGGGTAGACGATGTTCATCAACCACTAGAAACAAGAAATGCGATGAGAATGGATCAAGATCAGTGCTTACTGGATTGGAATATGTCCGGCTTCCGGTCGTGATAGACGTAGTTGAAGTCTACATTGCAATCTTTGAGGAGATGGTCCCGCTCCTGCATGCCGTATTGCCCGTATTTGACCTCGAGCCAGAGGTAGTATTCAAGGGCGGGGCACCGCCAACTGTCTGCATCCTTCTCCCCGGGAGGACGAGGGTGGCGAACATACACTTCACGAACATCGTCAAGATACTTGATGTAACGGAACAAGTGATCCAGGGCATCCGCTCGAGATCTGGGAAGCATATCTCCCCGTCCCTCCAACATACTTACCACCACATGCTTGAACACTTCATACTTGTAGCTCAGTACACAGAGAGCTTGATGGTACTTCGGGGGCGCGGTTGTGGAGATAAGGCGTTGTGAGGAGCCAGGTCGTGTAAGAAGGAATTTGTTGCTTTGCGTGTTGACATAGCTTCTCCTCCTGAGGAGGATGTTCTGCACATGTTCAGGGAATGTGGTACTAGAGGGATAGGGGATATCATCTGTGGTGTGCATTATGAAATGCAGTCGTCGTGAACAATGAATTTGCAGTTGGAGCGTACTGTGGGGGTGGGCACAGCCCGCGAAGGGCCGGACTATACCCAGCGGTCTGAATCGTGAGAACGGCTTACTAAGCGTACATGGCCAGCCCTCAGGCCTCAGGCCTCAGTTATGGGAGGACGCAACCACGTGCGATAGGTACGGGTTTAAGGAAGTCAACTAGGTTGAACGCAACGCGCTCAGACGCGTTCGCCGCTTGCGCGTAGCACAAACACACACTTGCATACTGTACTTTTACGATCGTAGGCTCGTGGGTGGCGTGCGAACTTAAATTTCCTTATACAGGATGTCCACGCATTTAGGCTCGCTGGTCCGGTGTATGGGTGGACACCTTGCTGGTCCGGACACCCGGTGGGCACCGAGCTCGCCGATCAGGGACACAACGTACCGAAGTTCGGGACCATCGACCGCGTGGGCACCCGACCCTCGGAGCTCTGTTTTCAATGTCTCAGTCAACCGCCACAACATCCGTCGCTGTGTGACGTCGTGATGAGCAGCTGTTGCAAGCTCATCCCTGTCGCCTATCTGTAAGTCTGAGCTGATCTGACCATATATTTTTACTCTGTTAGCA